ATAACATTAAAAGAAATCTAGCTCTCGCCCGATGTCACAATCGATATAGACGATGAAGACACAACTCTAAACTTGCCCAAGAAAAGGATAAAGGTGGAGAATAATTTTTTTTGACTCAATAATAAAATGAAACAAAACGAATAAAAGCTTTGGTTTCAGAATATTTTATAAAATAGTTTTAAGTTTTCTGAGTAAAATTAAGAACCTTTAGAATAGATTTTCATAAACTTTTTAGTATTTGTATATGCTTATGTAGATGCTTTATCATATAAAAATATACTACAATTAGCATCAATCTTTAGTTTATAATTTTTTAAGTCTATCAATGATTAGAAACAAACTTCATATTCTCTTTAGTTTCGTTCTAACCCACTTTTCTTGGCTTATTGGCTTTAATTGTTCATCTTCCTTCAATAATGCTATTTTTTCAAGTGTTTTGAACTTTCGCAACACCATACTTTCTCAAGTCAAGCTTGGTTTCATGTCGATCTAAATAACATGAAAATTCAAATTGACTTTGGATTACATTTGTTTCATGTCAATTTTAATTATTAACATGAAAATTTAAATTCAATATAGCCCATTCAAATAAACATCAAAGAAAATAAATAATCACAATGCTAAAGTTTAGAGACATAAGTGAGCAAAAATTATCAAAGTAGAACCAAAGAATAAATTTTAGTAAGGAAATAAATTAAATATAATTAATCATGGTGTTTAACCATGTACACTGCACGTGCATGAAACCTATTATAATAATTACCCAAGATGTAAAATTACTCATATAATTCTTTATACACAACTTTATTTATTAATGTAAAGATTTATTAATTATTCAATTTAAGAATTTATATTATCACAAAAGTCACTTTATAGTTTTGCACTCAAAGGAAAAGAATCGAGGATAAAAAATAGTATGGCCACGTGCAAAGCATGCGCATTATATTAGTATGTAAAAGAATATTGAAAAATACTACTTCAATATAAAACTTGACGTCTTAGTCTTATTTGAGATAGTTTTAACATGTTTGGAACATTCTTTTGCTATCGATTTTCTATGAATTGTTATATGTTTAGTTTTTTAGTTAAATGATGTATCTTTAATGTTAGTAAGTGTCCTGTTAAGTCAAGGTTACTATTTGCATACTCTTGCATTTGACCTTACATGTGAGTGTTGACTGCAGAGGTATCATTCCTGTGTTCCTCCCTTGTCATGTGCTGATTGTGCAATTTGTTCTGCGTCCACCGTGGGGTTATTTCTTTCTTTTATTATTATTTATTTTTGTTTTTAGTGTTACTTGAGGCTAAAGTTGATGGCTATCTTCTATTGTTCACAATAATGAATTCTTGTATATTTACTCTATTAACATTTTGCAGTCGTATCAGAAGGCGTTAAAGGCAGATCCTTCATATAAACCTGCTGCAGAATGCCTTGCTGTTGTTTTGACCGATATTGGCACCAGTTTGAAACTTGCTGGGAACACAGAGGAAGGAATTCAGAAGTATTGTGAAGCTCTTAAAGTTGACAGTCACTATGCTGTATGTTGTCATCATATCATCATTTTATTTCATTTTCCCTATTCTGCACAGTTGTCCACATTTTCTTGTGATTTCACTCCATTTGTCCTTGTAGTGATATATGCTGACCTTTATATGCAGCCTGCTTATTACAATCTTGGGGTGGTCTACTCTGAGATGATGCAATTTGATATGGCACTTACTTGCTACGAGAAGGCCGCAATACAGAGGCCCATGTATGCAGAGGCATATTGCAATATGGGAGTCATATATAAAAACCGTGGGGAGCTAGAAACAGCTATTGCTTGCTACGAAAGGTATTTAATTATTAGCATGCACTTCTGAGTCTAAATATTCTTTTCTTTTTTCTTTTTAGTGCTTAATCCATGATCTTTACCCGCCTTTATGTTGTTTGTGCCTTACTTTTGTGCTTCAGGTGTTTGGCTATCTCCCCGAACTTTGAGATTGCCAAGAATAATATGGCGATAGCTCTGACAGATTTGGGTACTAAGGTTGGCTTTTCTTATTTTCATATTAAGTTGGATTATTTTTAATTTACTATATTATGGTTCTACTAGTGGGCTGATTTGTGTAATGTCTTTTAATGTTTTTAATTTTTTAATATCTCTATAGTTAATGCTTAAATTTAAAAAACACCCCCTAATGATATGACTTTCCCACATCTCTCAAATTATATAGGTCCTTTGAAATCAGTTATAATCATTTTCTATTTAAATTAATCCAAATTGTGACTAAAACTTAGCTATACCCAAGCTTTGGAGAGCAAATGAAAATCATCTGATCGAAAATCTCCAGTTAAATATATGGAAGCTCAGATCTGTTTGAGTTTCTTTTATAACGGGTTTAAGTTTATTCTTAGTAGATATGACTTTTTCTGCATTATTTTTCTTGGAGATGGAGGAGATAAAAGAATATTCACTTTGGAAAAACAGTTGTTGGCTATGGTTCGAGCAAAGCACAAATCTAGGCTTCACATCAGAAGGCAGGTCAGGTTTGGGATGTCGGCAGGTAAAAGCAGTAATCAGTGATTGCTATGGTCGAGGTTCATCTTCGAGATTGAGTAAAAAGGAAAATTACAGAATACGATTGGCGGATACGTTCATTTGGCTGATAAACTGAAGAGGCTTCTCATATTGTTGGGGGGTGGGGTCAAGGGCGATAAATGCCAAACCTGACTCCTACGGTCCTCGTGGAAGTTGTTTCTACTATCCTTGCTGAATCATTTAGAAAAATCTGTCATTTTCATTCTGCCAATGAACCTTTTTGCAGCCATTTTCTTCATTTACTTCCTTTATATTGTGTAAACAAAAAGCGGATTTAACATTTTAATTTTCTGATGCGGCAAGTTACCTTCTTCACCATTTTACTCTTATATACTGGCCCCATGTAACCACTTGGTCTGGTTTTGTGCAGGTTAAACTAGAGGGTGACCTCAATCAAGGTGTGGCATATTACAATAAAGCATTATATTACAACTGGCACTATGCCGATGCTATGTACAATCTTGGCGTTGCATATGGTGAAATGCTACAGTTTGAGATGGTCAGTCGAAATTTATATTGTATTTCTTGGGCAAAGTTAACCTTTTAATCCAGCATCTGCCTCTAATTATGAAATCTTTCAGCTATTGCTTCTGTTTTCTGTCAATTTTTTATGCTTATGACATATGTAGTGAAATGCATGTGAGAAATCCATAAGTCTTTTTCTATTTTTTCACGTAAAATTAAAGTCAAATAAATACAGAAGTGGCTTCAAGGGTTGACATAAATCTTGACCAATTATATGAGAATGTGCTTCTAATTATGAAATCTTTCACCTCTTGCTTCTGTTTTCTGTCATTTTTTTATTCTTGTGATATATGTATAGTGAAAAGCATGTGAGAAATCCATCTCTCTTTTTCTATATCATCACATAAAATTAAAGTTAAATAAATAAAGAAGTAGCTTCAAGGGTTGGCCTAAATCTTGACCAATCATATGAGAATGTTTCTAATCATGTGTACATACACACTCATAGATCCTGCCAAATATACTAAATGCTATATAAGTTTTTAAAATATAATTAATAGTAAAATAAATGAATAATGAAATCAGCATATAAACAAAGATATCTGTTCTTTATTTTCTCTTTCCTATTGTTTTCTTTCGAATGCTTATTCTTTTTCGTTTCGAACTTTATAACAAGAAAAAAACAATTTCATTTAATATATATATGTAATAATATTATTTCTTGAACAATTTGGATATTATCAATGTAATATGGGTACGAGTATGAGACACAACAAATTTGTTAAAGGTGGGGTCCATGGACACGACTATATAAATATTTATATACACACATTATATATTGAAATTGAAATTGATAGTTTATATGAGATCAATATTTTTTTCCTTCATGTGTTATGAGAATTAAACATTTTTATGTTCTTTTTTTATGTGGATTATAAATAGTAAAAGCTCTTATTTTTTAACTAGACACCCAAACGACCATTAAAATCATAGTTTGGAACCCAAGGAGTTTCAAGAAGTGGATGTGAAATGTAACATTTACGTCAAGGAAATATTTGACAAGCATTCTAAATTAAAACATGTATTGTTTAATTGAGTGCATGCCCGAATAAATGTATGCATATATGGAAGGAGCATCCAAGGAGGTTGGGCACGTGCATGAATACGCCTTGCGTACGGTTATGGCTTCAAGCTTCAAGTTCAAGATAGATATACCCAGGTGTCATAGGATATTATCCTTCCCTGATCTCATAAACTAATACCTTTAGGCTTTATATCTTAATAATTATTTAAGTTGCATATATGATATATATGACTACGGTACGAATATGGAACATGACAAATTTGTAAAAGGTACGTTATGGGGCACAGAAAATCATAGTTTTGAAACTAGATACACAAGCAACCTTGAACTTGATACACAAACAACCTTTGATATCGTAGTTCTGAACTGAATATGGCTTGAAACAAACCCAACCCTTGTCGAATAAATTTCAGAATGTAGATGTGAAGTGTACAATATACATCCAAAGGTCTGAAGAATGTTTGAATATAAAACATATGTTGTATAATTAAGTAGTCATCTGAACAAATGTATGCATGTATTCAAGAAGTGCATAAGTGTCCCGTATAGTTACGGGTACAACTACATTGTAGAAATGGCCATGCAACAAAGGTAATAACTAAGTATAGTATTCCTATGAATAAATACGTTTCTTGTCACATATATCTTAATGTATACTCGTACATAGTAACATTCTCCTTTATGTTACAATGATTTTCTGTACATGCTGTTCTTTATAGGTTAGGTTGGGCTGGGCTGAGCTGGGCTGTTGGGCTGGGTACTTAATTTATAATATTGTCTATTAGGGGACTAACCCAAGAGATTGTTGCTATATGCTAAACGGATGCATGTAGTTAGGCCTTAGATAAAAGGGGAAAAGAAAGATTATGATTAAAAGTTTGTAGATAGATTAAAGTTTTATTGGACAAGGTTGAATTAAGAAGTTAGGTGGAACTATATTTCTCTATTATTATGCCCTTAACTGAACTGAATGGAAGATTGGATGCATGTAGAACCAGCAGAAAATTTTGGATAAAGGTTTTGTTTTTGTTTTTGTCTTGGTAGTCTTCTTTTCTGCTATAGAGGATCTAGCTCTTATCTAGATTCATCCATGTCCAAATTTAAAAGAAAGTGTAGATAGCAGAAGAAAATCAAAGGGAATATAACTCATTCTAGTTGCTTTAATAGTTACTACACATGGATTTCAGTTTAGTTTATTGAATTTGGGCAGTGATTTTTTGACATTATAATTGAAATGTTGTTATCTTCTGAATCAAGGCGATTGTTTTTTATGAGCTTGCATTGCACTTCAATCCTCATTGTGCTGAGGCGTGCAACAATTTAGGAGTTATATTCAAGGACAGGGATAATCTTGACAAAGCTGTGGAGTGTTATCAGGTGCGCTCAGTTTTGTGATATTGTTGAAGTTTGATACTTCTTTATATGTTTATATGTTTTATTTTTGAATGATGCTTGTCATTGTTGATTGTATGCTTATTTCATGGTTCCGTGCATCGTAGATGGCCCTGTCAATTAAACCAAATTTCTCACAGTCACTAAACAATCTCGGTGTTGTTTATACCGTTCAGGTCTGTTTACATTTAGTCCTCTGCATTTATTATATCTCATGTCCTCCGCACTTCTTAACTTGGATTACATATTTCTAGGGAAAAATAGATGCTGCAGCAAGCCTGCTTGAGAAAGCAATTGCTGCAAATTCTACATATGCAGAGGCATATAATAACTTAGGTAATTGGTTGATTCCATTTCCTCTCCTCAGCATTTTCATTTTTTCTTATCTTGTAGCTCTTAGTCTTAATCATCATGACGTGTCAGCATTTTCTCAACATTAGTCATGTTTCTTTGCTTAAACACACATCTCTTACGCACAACAAAATAATATTTTATCTGAATGCTTTGGGTTGGTTTAAATTGTTTAGTTTCTTTTTCCTCTATTTAACTCCTTTTATGACCACTTGCTCAGTTAAGTTAGTAAAGATACTAATTCTTTTGTAGCTTCAATAATGCACACACTTGTGCTCACAGACCAGTACACACACATTCAACCTCATCCCAGTAACATTGTCAGTTAGTCACAATCATTTCACATCTTATCAGGACACTAAGAATACCTGCCATACACGTAGAATGCATGTCAATGATTTCACTTATTGTTATTTCATTTCTAATCTCTAGCAGCTCATCCATTTCTAGCTGGCTTTCTGATATTCCCACTAGGTCATCTATAACCTTCTTTTCAGTTCTTTAGTGAGTACGTTAAACATTTGTTACACATGCAGATACACAGGAACACATGCATGCTTGTATTAAGCTGAAATATCACGGGGATCTAAGAGTTCTGTGGCGCTTTTGGTTTAATACCTCATTTTATTACACAATGTTGTATATCCTGTGTAGAACCTAGGTTATATGAAATTCGATTGTGAAGAAGCAATGTAGTTTTTTGATTGTTGGTTTTTTTATCTATTATAGTAGATATAGAAGTTGAAATTGTATCGTTGTGATGTATTTATTTATCGGATTCCAATTTTATTTTTAATGAATGATAACCTGAAATTTCTAGCAATGTGTATTCATACTGGTAGCGCAAATGAGGAAAGAATTGTCGGTGTTTCACATAGTGCATAATGCAAATCTGTTTCTACTAGAATATTTTTATCTTAGTACCCATCGGGAGCTTATGTACTGCATTACCTTTGTGTTTTGAGAGTGATGATGATGCAAAATAGATTTTGTTTATTAATCTCCCTAAGTTCTCAATACTGTCCACAGCCTGCCCCTAGCTCGATATTATTTTGTAACCAATTCACATATTCTCTACTTGCACAAAGTTTCTTGCCAATGACGTATTATATTTCAGTCTCAACATCTTTTACTACATCAGGAGGAATTTAAGGGAGTTACTAACTGTTTATATAATTTAGTAATTACATCTTGCCAGTCCATATGTTCACATGTATCTGTATGTTCACATCTAAATTACACAGTTGCGGGTATGGATGCGGTACGTGTGCAGATACGGGTACAGGGCATAACAAATTTCAAAAGGTAGTGTACAGGAACACGGTTACACATACATCTATATATAATAAGAATTTAGATGAGATCAATGTTACATTAAACGCTGGGCGCTTCTAGGCGTCGGACTTGGCGGCCAGCGCTTAGTCGCCTAGGCGGGCGCCTAAGCAGTTTCTGGGCGTTTTTTTTCTTTCTTCATTTAAGTGGTGGTCGATGAGGTTTTGCTGAAGGTCGGAGGAGGTAGTGGAGATGTTCATATTTGGAGGTTAATGGAGTTTGGAGGACGTGTAGGCTACGTCACATAAAATCACAATCAAGGCCTACATGGTGCAATCTACGTAAGCAGACAATGCTCCCCTAAACGCTCGTAAAATCTAGGTGGGCAGCCTAAATACCGTCTAGGCACTAGGCGCTAGTTAGGCGACCTAGGTACCGCCTAGGTCTAGACGTATGCCTAAGCGGACTAGGCGGAGGTTTTTTAAAACAGTGGATGAGATCAGTATTGTTTTCTCATTTCCCGTGCTATGAAATAAAATTCCTATAACATTTATATGTTTCTTTTGTTATATAGGTCTATAATTTAGAAAATTTCTTGTTTCTTAACCTAGATATCCAAAAGACGCTTTATATTCATATTCTTGAACTGGGTAAGGGCTGAAACGAACCCTATCTATGTCCAACGAGTTTCAAGAATTGTATGTGAAGTGTAGGATATATACCCGAGAATTATACGACGAGCGTTTTAAATTAAAACATGTATTATATAATTGAGTACACTTTCGAGTAACTGTATGCAAATATCGAAGGAGTGTCCATTGAAGTTTTAGTGTTAGTTTTGGGTACGACATGTCAACACAGATACGGCTCCAGAAGCATGCAACATAGGTTCACATGTATCTGTATGTTCTCATGTCTCCTACCGATCAATCCATATCAGTGCATAACATCACATGTTTTCCAAGGTTTAACACTTTCACCCATTTCATTTTTGCTCGGATACTGGTTAAGGTAATATTTGGTTGGTATTATGTATGCAACTTGACAAAGAATTATGCATTTGGTTTAGTTTTGACATCCGAGTATTTGGTGCATTTTTGGATCATATACGATATAGGTTTTCACAATTTCACCAACAAATTTAACAATGTGAATTAACAACCTCCCAAAAGTTAAGTTACTGATTGATGACGACTACTCGACTTAGCGTCTTCATGCTCCTATCACCAAGCTACATAACATAAGGCAATTGAATGGGAAATATATCCTTGATAGTATTGATCCCACCAGAAGGAAATCAAATCTTTACTTTTAGTATGCTACTGAATGTGCTGTCCCTATCTAGAGCTGTATATAACATGCCTTTCTGTCAGCAATACTGAGTAATACTTTGCTATAGATTTTATACTTCCCTTTTTTGATGTGTAGGGGTCCTTTACAGAGATGCAGGCAATATTGCTCTAGCTATAGAGGCATATGAAAGATGCCTTCAGATTGATCCTGATTCACGTAATGCGGGTCAGGTACTGGTCTCATTCTCTGCTGGCTTGGAGTTCATCTGATTTCTGAATATTTGACTTTTTGATTTATTCTAGAATATTATTTTTTCAATCAAATATAATGCATGTTTTGATGGCTATTTGTTCTGTACTTTGAAGTTATATTCAATTATTTCCATACCAGCCTGTTTGCATGAATCCACGCTTGTCAGTTCACTAACTTTTCCTATTCAATGAATCTGTTGCGGTAACTATTTCACTGAATTATTGTTTGCACATCCCCAGGGATCCCTTAAATGTTTGTTTTTCTTTTTTTTTTCCCGCAAATTTACTTTTGATTTTACATCATTGCATACACACACACACACACACACACACACGTATATATACAAATATATATATACACACACAAGCGTGCTATATATGTATATACACATGTATATACATATACATATATATACATGTACACACACATACATATACACAATCTCACACGCACATATTGGTTCTTTTTTTTGCAAGTTGGAGACTCTTCTTCGCCTATCGATCTTGTCCTGAGTTTCTTTTCTTTTCTCTCCCTTATTATGTTTGTTAGAGCTTAGTCTTGTTTGGTCTGTCTAAAATGCATGACATGTATATTTATCTTGGTTCATGGTTTTTGCACGTCTGACTATCTAAGAATGATGTTTAGGGGAGTCTCAAGCATACCCATTATTCTCATATACACTCACATACACATACTTGGTACGTGAATTGGAGGAATCTCAGCCATAGATGTAAGTGAGATTAGTTGGATGGAAAGTACATTCTCTTTGATACTTTTCTCTTTGTAGTTTACAACCTTAGATGTGGGTCTGAAATGCATCCACCTCACTACCAAGTACCAAATTTGTGCTTGTTACCAAGCATACCTCTTTCTCTCTCTCTCTCTCTCTCTCACTCACACACACGTATAATGATACACACACACACACATATATATATATATACATAGGTATATATACACACAAACATGTATATACATACACATATATATACGTATATATACATATACATACATATATATGCATACACACAATGTTACATTAAACGCTGGGCGCTTCTAGGCGTCGGACTTGGCGTCCAGCGCTTAGTCGCCTAGGCGGGCGCCTAAGCGGTTTTTGGGCGTTTTTTTTCTTTCTTCATTAAGTGGTGGTCGATGAGGTTTTGCTGAAGGTCGGAGGAGGTAGTGAAGGTGTTCATATTTGGAGGTTAATGGAGTTTGGAGGACGTGTAGGCTACGACACCTAAAAACACAATCAAGGCCTACAGGGTGCAATCCACGTAAGCAGACAATGCTCCCCTAAACGCTCGTAAAATCTAGGGGGGCAACCTAAAGACCGCCTAGGCGCTAGGCGCTAGTTAGGCGGCCTAGGTACCGCCTAGGCCTAGGCGTACGCCTAAGCGGACTAGGCGAAGGTTTTTTAAAACAGTGCATACACACACACATATATATACACAATCTCACATGCACATATTGGTTCTTGATTTTTTTTGGAAGTTGGAGAATCTTCTTCGCCTATCGATCTTGTACTGAGTTTCTTTTCTTTTCTCTCCCTTATTGTGTTTGTTAGAGCTTAGTCTTGTTTGGTCTCTCTAAAATGCATGATAGGTATATTTATCTCGGTTCATGGTTTTTGCACATCTGACTATCTAAGAATGATGTTTATCAGTTATTTTTTGCATATAGTTTGTTCTTGTTCATCAAATGAGTCCTCAATATAAACCTCTATTGCAACATTCAATTTGATCAAACTTTTCTTAAATTTCTCATCACTGATACTTATTTCAAGCAACCTTTTCTTTTCTCAACGCCAATATTCATTTCATTAGAGATTGCTCAGGCCATTTGTTTATTATCTTTGACTATCCTCAACAAGCTTTTAGATATTGGATATCAGAAAAATATTGAAGGGCCAATGTATGGGATTATAGATATCGGGGAAATATTGGGGATATGTAGTAAATATCGGATTGCCATATCCGATGATCTGTATATATAATATGATGTCTGAATATGTAATCTAAACATACCTACTAAAATCTAAGCTTACAAAATATGAATAATATATGTTGGGGGTCCACTAACCAGTTATAGAAAATTACGTAGGGAGAGCCTACTAGAATTTGGTCAAACTTGATGTACTGCAATTTTTGCTAAAATACATTAAATATTTTTTTTGCAAAACTATATTGTTTTCAATAAACCATATAGAAAAAGCATATAGGTTAGTATACCAGCTATATCAGGGATATATCGCCAAAAAATTCCCAGAAGCCGGTTAAGAATATTGAGACCATATGTCGGCCGATATATCGGATATATAGGGGGATATTAAAACAATTATCCTCAATGAATGTGGCTAAAATGAGAATGCTAAGGCGCGGTGTTGATGTGCTAAGTAACATAAGTTGGAAGGTAACTGTAGAGCTCTCAGCTAACTGTATTTGCAAATATTTAAGGTCTTCGCCAATTAAATGAGTTCATATGGGTGAGGGGTGAATATATGCCATAAATAACTGAGTAGACTTCAAATGACAATAATGTGCCAGCTGACTACTTTAGCAATGAGTGTCACTAATTAGCAACAAGTTCATGTGGGGGCTACCTAGGAATATGCCATAAAAGCCTGAGCAGAGTTAAATATAGATACAACTTGATATGGTTTTAAATATCGATACAACTTGATATGGTTTTAAATATAGATACAACTTGATATGGTTTTAAATATAGATACAACTTGATATGGTTTTAAATATAGATACAACTTGATATGGTTTTAAATATAGATACAACTTGATATGGTTTTAAATATAGATACAACTTGATATGGTTTTAAATATAGATACAACTTGATATGGTTTTAAATATAGATACAACTTGATATGCCATAAAAGCCTGAGCAGAGTTAAATATAGATACAACTTGATAGCAACAAGTTCAGTAGGTACTATATGTAGATACAACTTGATATGGTTTTAAATATCGATATCAGGGAAATATCAGATGGCCAAAATCCGTATTGGATTGCAGATATCAGAGAAATATCGAGGATATGTAGAAAATATGGGTGTGTCATAATGGATGATGTACATATATATTATGATGACCTAAAACATAATGTCAGCATACTTAATGAAATTTAAGCATAAAAGATGTAAGAATATATCCTTAGGGTCAATAACCAATTGTAGAAACTTTCTCAGAGAAAAGAGCCTACTAGAATTTGCTAAATCATTGGGCTGGAACTTTTGCCAAGAAAAATTAAAGAAATTTTGCGACACTATATTGTTTTGCAACAAGCCATATAAAAGGACATATCGGTCAATATATCGGCTGATATATCGGCCATGTCGGGGATATATAGCCAAAAATTACCAAAAGGTTGTAAAGGATATTAAGAGCATGTCTTTTTGCGTAAGCCTATAAAAGGATATATCGGCCAATATATTGGTTATAATGAGGATACTTAAAATAACGGGACTCGATAATATGGGATGAATCCTGGAGCAATTTTCCTTCTTCTTGGTCAATGCTTGACACCCTTATATATAGTTGTGCACAGTAAATATTAGCATTTCAGTTTTCAACAAATATTTTGTTTAATACTAATTCCGCTATCATGTTTTAGCTATATGATTGTTCTTAAGGCATAGGCCCGTGTATGTTCGTAACTGGCTCTTTATCCCTCCACCTCATGTTGTAGCCCTTTGTCCCGCATGATAGCATATGTAGTGTTTGCGTCAAAAGTTGGTTTTGTCATGGAATTCATTATATCTTCGGTCGATTACAACAAATTCAAAAGAAATAGCCTTTTTATAAGACTTCTTTTACACAACAAAAGGAAAATTACAACTTTTTAGAAACAAACGCAGGATCGTTGTTTGGATCGCTGCTTGCGTGGGATCTTTGCCTGTGCCGGGAGCGCTTTGACTCGTGGACCACCGAATCACAGATTCTGATTGAACCGTGAGGGGTTTAATGATTCTTCCTTCGTTTATCGAAGTAAGAATTTGAAGCGAATATCTTATCGATGTAAGATGTTCACTCTTCTAAAGATCAAGTCAGAGCTTAGATCTCTAGGAATCTCCAGAAACTTCTTGAGGATGTTTGTGCAGAAGGAAGACTCTTTCTTGCTCTAATTCACCAAAACTCAAGGCTCTCTGCTCTAATCTGCTCTGGAAATGCTCAGCCCCTGTCAATGATGGCCATAGGGGGGTATTTATAGCCTCCTTAGACGATAACTGAAGAAATAGCCGATCAACAACTGCCTCTTTAGGCGCGGCAGTTGATGCTGTCGCGGCTAAAGGGCGCGACAGTCGACACTGTCGCGGCCAAAGGGCGCGGCAGTCGACACTGCCGCGGCTAAAGGGGCAGTTACACCCACGTTCATACGTGTTTGAAACAGTTCTCCCACGACCTTTAACCACCTTTTTCGTGGTTTAACTGCTTTTCCACGTCAGCACACGTTCTATTTCTGATACGCCGCCACGTGGACTTTAAATAATCATCAGATAACTGCATTATAACTGCTGTAGCACGCCCTTTAATGGCCGCGGCACTTTAGGTTGTCGCGCCTTAGCCGCGGCACGATATGCTGCCGCGCCTTAGCCGCGGCACCACATGCTGCCGCGCCATGGCCGCGGCGCCATGAGCTGCCGCGCCGGAGCCGCGACACCAAGCGTTGTTTGTTGGTGTGTACATATTTTTCCATGTTGTCTTGAGTGGAGTTTGGACGTCTGTAAGTATTTTTTGATGCCTACAGATACCCCCTCCAAAGTATCTCAGACTCATCATTTTATAGAGAGGGGTCTGAGACACTTTGGATATGATAACTCTCCCTGCAATTCCTCTAGTGCTTTGTTGAGGAAATTGCGTAGAATGGTCTGTGAATGACTTCAATCCTTGATTTTTTTTTTTTTTTATCTTTTAGCTTATTCAGTGCTTTGTAGAATAGCTAAGATTCCTCCGGTGCTGCGTCTAT